AGAGAGAGAGAGCAGCAAAATGGAAGGGATGCCAGAAAGATTTTTGCGCGCGAATTTTCAAACGCCGTTTTAGCGCGATTTATACGGGCGGCATTCTGATTACAAACTGCCATTTATCCGGGGGGGGGGGGTGATTTCACGATCGTTGTACAGGGAAGTGCAGTTCTATTTGTAAATGAAATAAACCAAAGATCACACGGGCTATAGATTAAAAAAAATTTCTTACCATGTTTTGCGTAACAAAATAAGAGAAATAGCGTGTGCAAAAATTTCCTCGGGACGCTTTTCTTGTACCAAGATTTTGTTCTACCTTTTTTTTGCCATTTACTCGATGTTAAGTATAGGCCGCATTTTCTTGGTAACTGCGGCCCATCATTAAGTTTCTTGGGGATGATGCAAGCCCTATTTTTCAAAAAATAGAGTATTTTCAACAAAACGTATGACCTAGAATTTTTGAAAAATGTTTATTCTATCTATTCTAAGTCTTGATTATTTCTTATTCAAACACGTTTATTGCGAGTAGATTAAATTTAAGGCTTGGAAATTTCCCGGAAGAAACACTTTTAACGTTCCAGAATTCGTTGACTTGTGGGGGAAAAAATGCTCACATGTTCGAAAAGACGTGTAGAAACTTTCTTGAAGAACCATTTGTCATTAAGTGGGAGCTTGAAACAGATGTTCGCCCTCCCGGGGATTTTGATTATTTAAACCCAAATTTTCCAGCCCACGGGAAACGACTTTTCATGACAGCGTCTATTAGACTAGACTTGCAAAACTTTCATCCTGCGAAGCGTCAGTGAATGGGGCTAAACTAATGACTTGATTGATGCATATACTGTATATTTGACGCCTTGTGTTTGTTTGCAGTGAGGAATAGTCCGCCGGTGTTGATGGATGTTCCTGGGGAATCAATGCAATCACCGTTTTCAATCCCATTGATCGTGATCCTGTTGGTGGGTCCAATCGTGTGTCTCGTCATGATCGGAATATTTTGGAAGTGCAGCCGAAAAACAGCGACTTCAGGTGCCTCCGTGGATCCAAGGTATTTTTTTTTTT